GATATTTCATGTTCAGAACATATTTTAAAAGTTCTTTATTTCACACTTGACAAAACAGACCACCTGCGGGTAAAATTGCTTCAGCCATGTGGTAGATCATACAATATCCAATTCATTAGGAAACTGTGTAAGTCGTCTGCATATAGCAGTTTATGGTATTCATCTCTTTTTTTGTTACAGTACTTTAGAATATATGCAAAAAAGTTAAAAACAATACATTGTCCAATTCTAATGAAGGATTTTAAGCTGTATTATGAGAATTAGCTTCCTTGATCACCCATTTACTAAAAACAGCAGCATATAATAAAACACATCGCTTGGAACACAAAAATCTATGTCATTAATTTCATTGTTTGTATTTCAACACAACAGTGAAGTTAGTGCAGAAAAATACCTCTGCTAAAAATGATAAAATACACTGCAAAAAATGGAAATTGTGCAAATTAACGGGAAAGCTTTTTAAAAGACGTTTTTTAATTGCTTTTTAAAAGTTGTTTTTTTAAGACTATAAGCTGGTCTCTCTACCAGTAAAGTATTTCGTAAAGTATTTGGTATACTTTTGAAAGTACTTTAAGAGAGCCTGCCCTCTTCCATGAAGAAATGGCACCCTGGGATGTTGGCAAATTCATTTTAAGAAATAACAAACCATCAAAGAAACTTGTGGTCAAAATCAATGCATATCACTTCACAGTGTCCCTAATTGTGAAATGTTTATGTTAAGTACTAAAATAATGTGCTTAAAAAGAGATATGAAGAAAAATATCTATCTGAAATGGAAAGTCCACAATTTTAGTATCACTCGACTTACTCTTGGATGCAGTCTAAACAGCTGACATTTCTTAGTGCGTTTGTGTTGTAATTTTCTGGACAGGTGAACAATGTTGGTTTGCATACAACCATTGTAATGCAGTGCTGAAAATGATCTTTTGATCTTTGAAATTGAGTTGAAATTACAATGCAGTCAGTTGCATTGGAGCTTCTGTTGACAAACAGTGCTGGGGGAGGTGCTGTAGAAAGCTATACAAAGTTATTCATATTAACCGCTTTTTGTTACCACCCAGTTGACTTCAAGGGTCAATGTCACAAAACCTGAAGGCTGTTTCCTCCAAAAAAGTTCTATGCAGTGTGGCAACTTTAAAAAAGTTCTTCAATTCTTTTAAATTTTCACAAGTTTGGCATCAATAAAAACTTAGACTACATTCTTTCAGAATTTGTAAATAATTTAAACCGATCTAAGGCAGACTTGTTCATGGTTTCCCCACAACCTGTCACAATTGTATGGAATGTTAATTATTTATTTTTCAACCTGAAGTCCTGTTTAAGTCAGGCAAAGATTTTATATATCTAGCTTGGTAAGCAATTTTTACCCTAAAAACTACCTGGAAAAACTTTATATTTTCAGCACAATCTTTAGATCAATAATAGATTAAATTTGGGGTTCTGTGTCAAAATGCAAAATGTTAACAGGGTGCATGTTGAGCATCTTTGTCTTCTGTAAGTCAGTGAACCAGCCCCTTTGAAGTCATAAATAAAAACACAATTATTCATTTCAATTTAAATCAAGAGAAGAGCTAAACCTAATTCCTGGGATTATCTATATCTCTCCCTTACCTTTCACATGTTTTTTTTTCAAAACCTTAATATAGGGCAACACTGTCAAAACAATAAAAGAAGGTTGATTTACTCTGTTAATAACAAAAAAAATGGATATAGTTTTTATACCAAACTTTTTATACCATGCCTTTGCAAACATATTTTATTAATCACAAAGGGAAATTAAATAACGATACTAATATAATAATGATTAATATATTAAGAATTGTTATACTATACATAAATTGAAAACAAAAACACATTTGTATGCATTAAACTTCACAATAGTATTTTTACCAATTTGCTTAAAGGTTGGGCTGCACTGCGGGTAGCACTGATGCCTTGCAGTAAGACGGTTCTCGATTCCCGGTCCGGGGTCTTTCTGCATGGAGTTTGCTTGTTCTCCCTGAGCATGTGTGGGTTTTCTCTGGGTACTCCGGCTCCCTCCCACAGTTCAAAAACATGACTGTTAGGTTAATTGGCTTCTCTAAATTCTCCTTAGGTGTGAGTGTGTGGCTGAATGGTTGTTTGTCCTGTTTGTCTCTGTGTTGCCCTGCGATGAACTGACGACCTTAAATTAACCATCTAAAAAAGATGACGTAAAACAGAATACATCTGAAAACAGTAGTTAGAGATTTCATTGGTTGTTGTAAATTAACTAAGAAAGTTTTTTCTTTCTTTTGGGTTACGGAGCTTTCTGTCAGTGAAAGTGAAGATCCTAACCATCCTCTATCCTACTTTAAAAAAACAATGTGACACCCTTCCACCATAGAAATGTAGGATTCAGACCTTGGGATGTTGGAACAAGCCAATATATTAGTGTGAGCACCATTTGAAGGCAATTAAACATCCGCTATTTTTGACAATGAAAAGTAGGAAAAAGTTAACTTTTGAGAGTTTTTCTCTAAGTTAGGTGTTACCTTATTTCCTAAAATTGGAACGGAAGAGGATAGCTACTTCTCTCAGCTTCCTGTGTTTATAACAAGCAGATTGTCACCTGTATTCACACCAAAATTAGTAACTCCTCTAAAACAACCTGAAACACATAGCATTCTCATCCAAAGTTTTTTTTCCTCTTCTTTAATTAAAACACATCACAGTACCACACAATTTATAATGCAGAGCTTGAAGCTACTTTTTTCACACCTCTCTCAAAGACAGAGGAGTTAATTCACACATTACTTGTTGACCAGTGAGAGGAGGTTTAAAGATAGGGATTTGAAATTGAGCATGTCAGGTAGCAGCATTTTCTAGAACACTGTAATAACTTATATCTAATAAGCATCTAAAAATCATTTAACGGTCATATCAATCCATCTTAATATTTCACACCGGTTTTACTTACAAAGTATTTACCCCTTGTAATGAAGAAATGCACTGGGTTATGTTTCTAACCTGTTTGAATTTCCAGACACAAGGTTTGAGAATTCAAAGGATTTAAAAATTTCAAAGTTCATTACAAAGTTTCTTTGGGTATGTAAGAAATAAATGGAATGAAGGGATGAAGGCCTAGACAGATGGAAACAAAAGCACATGATGGAGAGACAAAAGTACAACAGAGAGAAAAGAAAGGAGGTTACAGGATGGGAAAAATGTTTTTTGTTTTGTTTTTTAAAGCCACCCAAAAACCCCCTAATAGCATTCCCCGATTTATCCTTTGTGAACATTATTATCTCTATCTTAATTTTTTGGTCAAAAAAGCCTTGTCTCTGCTGCCTCCTTCACTGTGGGTCACAGCCAAATCTAGTGACTAGTGATGGGTTAATGAGGCATCTTGAAGCTTTTCGACACATTGCCAAACTGCATTGATACTGCGTAGTCAGGTCTCACAGAATACTGACACCTTTAAAGACACTACAGGCAGCTTATTTGACAGACGAAACTGAATTGATTTGATGACCTACAATGATATATTTTAAGTTATTGTATATTATATTGCATTATTTCATATCTATGTTTAAATTTAATTTGATTTTAATTAATTAATTTATTTGACAGGGACAGTGTACATTAAAAAGCATTCCTGCAAATGCACCAGATTTAGCCAAAAGGCTATTTTTCATCTGTTGTCTCTGGACAGATCTTAAAATTGTCTACCTAAAAAAATACAACAGTAAGCATACTACAATGTAAAATACAAATATAAAAAGAAATAAAAACAGCTATAACTCCTCAAAACTGATTTAAAATACAGAATAAGTGTTTGCTGGACTACTGATTTTAGGTTCATAAAATAGAATAAAACATTTAAACTATGTATATATTTGAAAATATCTGATATTTTTAGATGCAGCCAATAAATTATGTAAACATATATCATAATGTGAAACTTTAAAGGGAAAATGTGAATGAGAATGCTTTTGTGGACTAGGTTTTTTAAATCATATTTTTAAAACAGTAAGTACAGTAAAAAACAAAAAGTCAATTTGAAATTAACTTTAATTCACATTAGTTGAGTGATAACTGATAGGAAAAGGATGACACAACGAGAAAATTAAAATAAAATCGCAACGGCTGAAACATTCCTATTCCTTTTAGGTTGTTCTTAATTCTTAATAATGTCAACGATAAACCGCAAAAGATGAGACATTTTTTTAGCAGATGCATCATGTTGGCAGATACGTTTTCAAACATAGTTTGGTGAGTCAGTCAGTTAGAAACAACTCCTGTATCGGTCACATGACTTTTTTGAACAATACAACAATACAGTGTTTTGCTCTATGGGCTCAACGCATGCTCTGACGTATTGGTGTTGCTGGATCCATCACTACTAGTGTCTAAGTGAATTCCCGGGACCCGCATGTTAACAAAATTTAGGATATTTCAACTGCAAATTTCACTCACAATTTCAATCAGATTTGGCTAAATTCGCACCATTCGCCTCACTAGATATGCCACCTTCGCATCACTCTTTTTCGCAGGGCTTCAGAACCGCCCTTTACATAGGGATGGAAAACCATTGCCCCAGCTGCTAAATACACGTTCGTTGTGAACATACCTTTGAATAGGGAGCAAAAATGGAAGCAGTACTGTAAGTTACACAGGAGAAGGAGGCAGGTTAAATATCAGAAAGAAATTAGGTTGGATGCAATTATGAAAGGACAAAAGAAAACAAAAAGGAATAAATGTCTCAGAAAGAAAGAAAGGAAATGAGGAGGAAAGGTAAGAAGGATTCCAGAAACGATAAAAAAAGAAGTGAAAAAGTTAGAAAAATTATGAATAAAGAAAGTCTTCAAATTTTAGAAAATGGGACAAGGGCTTAAGTATGGAAATAACAAATATTTCTTAAAACACTTTTTGTCTCTTTCTTCCATTATTTAAAATGCTGAAATCCAGATCCACACAGCTGTACAACTGAGTATGAACCCTGTTTTGAGGATAGAACCAAAAAAATGAAAATGTCCTACCTTAACATCAACATGAGCCATCAGAACTGCAAAGTTGGTGAGATGGGTACAAGAGCATGTGGTGTGCGTCCTATTGGTGCTAAGCAGACGGCAATCCTGCGTCGACCAGTAACCCCAGTAACTGCGCTTGGAGTAACTCCAGAACGAGCAGTTTGGGTTGAAGTTTTCTTCAGACTGCTGCTTAAAAAAAGAAGAAAGAATATATGAGAAGAATCAAAATCCGCTATTTCAATGTTTGAGCAAGTGTCAGAAAACAATCACATAGGACTCATGTTTGATTCATTTTGTTTGCACAAAAAAAGGGTAATTTATCCCCACTGCTGTCTGCATCCATTCTTAGTGACTAGCAGGTGCCGTCACTGTCAGGAAGCATGAAGCGGCCTCATGCCTGTTTTTCATTGTGTTTTTTGACCTTTCTCTTTAACTCTCGCTGCATGACAATGGACTGCCCCACTGTTTAATAGGCACCGCTGCCGTCTGTGCTGCGCTGCCACCCTAATGACAAGCGAGCCTCCCTGCTATCTTGCTCGCCATTTTATAAAAGTCATACACAACACAAAGGCTTAATAACACAACAAAATGTAAGTGCTGATAAATAGATGCACTGAAAGCCTTTGCCTCTCGAGTCCAATTTTCTTTCTGCACTGTAGTTGCAGAAAAAATGTACTTCCACCTTTTCTTTTGAGAAACTCAGCACTCAAGGTTAAAGATATCTCCCTTTTCACTGTAAATACTGTGACGTTCTGGGGTTTTTATTTTCTCCTGGTTTCACTTTTATTATATGGTAATTAGCGTAATAAGGTTTATCCTCTGTGAATGCAGGTTTTCCACTGATTGCATTTACCCTTCACACATTCAAATCTTTATGCAAGCTACTTCACCGCAAGGAGATAGGATGACCCTCCGTCACCATTAATAGCTTTAATTGGACCCGTTAAATGGGAAAGCAGGGAAGTGAAACAATAACTAGAGGACACATAATCATCCCAGAGGATCAGCAGACCAAAACCTCATGGTTAAACAGGGAAGCAGCAGGATAGTATTCCATCATTAGATGCAGCTATTCCTGATTTTTACATACAGCTTTTGCATTACACTAAAACTAAAAGTGAATGACATTTAAATTGCATGATAATTATTTTTTTTATATAGATATACCTGCTATAGAACAACACAACACAACAAATTATATAAATAACATTTATTATTTATATATATATGACTGCAGTTAAATGCCAAAAGTTATTTCTATCTATTAATAAGCAAATTTCTTTATGTCGTACACAACTTTAAACTTTTAAATAATCATATTTGCTCAAATTGATTAAAGTTAGTAGTTATTTACACAAAAATAATTTCATTAAACAATTTTTGTTAAATCAAGTCTCCAAAAAGTGTCAAATTTGTGTAGAATTGAATGTATCACCGCTCATTTAGGGTTAAACGGTAATAATAAAAATATTACAGTGGTTACTAAATGCTGCAGTATTGATATATATCATAATAAATCCACAATTGTTCTTCTTTTTAGGCTTCAAATGTGTCCAAGCATCTCTGCCCTTTAGTGCTAATCTTTGTCCAGTAAAACCATCAACTGCAGTGAGAGTTTTATGGGGGGACAAACAAACCCAAAGATGTACAATAGTGTGATGACAATAAGCTTGTCCTCTATATACATCTAAGATGTAAACTTATTTCACTGCTTAAGGGCAGGATATAAACATGGTATTAAGAAATATGGGCTCTTTTTCCCAGGTTTTAATAAATTATTATGTTATAAATCAATATTTCAGGGAAGATTTATTTAGTTTAGGGCTAAAATAACTAATCGGATTAATTGTGATTAATCGATTATTCAAATAATCGTCAACTGATTTAGTAATGGATTAATCGTTAACTGGAGTATAGAGACTCTAAAACATGGCTTTAGGTGACAGAGCGACCCACTTAGAGGAGGAATTAAACCAAGATTTAAAAAAAAAAAACATTAACATTTTTAATTTAAGATAAAGATGGTCTAATTTCACCAAAAAAAAAATCTTCTTTAAGTAACCTTTTGCTTTCATTTCTGTTAAATAATCAATTAATTGAAAAAATGATCAACATCAATTTGCAAAATATTCATTAGTTGTGGCACTAATTTAGTTTACTTACACTGGGTTATGAGGGGAAATTGGTCACTATTTGTAGAACTAAGGGGAACAACTAGGGTAACTATGTCTATACACAATTCTACTCCTCTTTATAAATTTTTACAATCGGTTGAATATTTATTATTCTTTTTTATCAACTTATATCTACATGCTGGAAGTACACGATTAATAAAAAAATGGAAGAATGTATGTGAAATGTAAAAAAAAAAGTATGTCCTAAAGAAAATCCCAAAGGAATATAAAAATATGTGTTTAATATATCCATGATTTGATGGACTGCATCAAATAGAGTTTAGATAACACTAAGAAATATTTTTAAATGATAATTATTAAGTGATGAAGTCCATTAACTGCTTGTCTAAACAGTGTCTAACCTTGTAAATGAATGTTTGTTTGCATCCTGTTTCCGTTCTAAAAATAAAAGTGTTGAAGCCCTCTGTGTACATTTTTGTTTTACAAGCAGGGGAAGTGTTAGCAAAAGGGCAGCATTTTATTAAAATTACGTGATCTGCGACTGATGAGAGTGGAAAAGTACCGTTCATCAAACCAAGAGTGAAATTAGACTGCAAATTACAAATTTCTTCCAGGGCAGGTGAGTCAGAGCAACAGCTGCTCTGACGTTGTCCCGATGACATTTTCCCACCATTTAATTTTCACATCCTGGAGCTATACTTCTTTTACTCATCATCATCCTTCTGCTCTCCTTTCCTTTTCTGCTGTTGTATGCGTTCTTTCAACACTCTATGGCTGTTCAAGATCTCTAATAATCCCTGAAGGTGATGTTTTTAGACAAGATGTCGGTATTTTGTGGAAGGCAGATCGCGGAGAAGGAAATGGAGTTAGGAGGGAGAAATTGTGGCTTCCCACAATGACAAAGCATCCACCACTGGGGCAGAATGCTACTGATATTTCCTCAGAAGATCAAGCTGCTTCTCAAGCCAATCGACAACAGCTTGCCTTCATCAAAGAAAACTCCATTTATCACAGTTAAATTCATCACAGCTTTCCATCAATATGACATTTTTATATTTACTTGTTTTTACTTTCTTAGATGAGATTTGCACATTTATGATGCGCTTCAGGGCGAGAGAAAATGACGATGAAAGGTTTTTATCAAGAAGGCGCCACAGTAAGTGTGCCCTCTGTGTAAACAAATGGGAAGAGACAAAGAGCACATTAAACGCAGCGGCACTGACATCCAAGTAAAAACAAATCCCTCTCCCCTCAGGTCCAAACAAACAAAGACACACAAATACAGATAGAGAAAATTACCTGCAGATGCCTGATGGTAAAAATGACAGGGTCAGAGAGATAGACTTTGTTTGAATCCTTGTTGATGGCAGCCGTGATAACGGGAGAGTTAACAATCATGGAGTAATTGGTAGCCAGAGCCTCGCTGCCCAACTTCATGCTGGCATTCTCCGTGGAGAGGTAAACGCCGATGTGTTTGTACAGGACAAACGCAATCCGGATTTCACCTGTGAGAGAAGAGTTCTATGAAATATTTCACAAAAGATGAACAACAGGATATTACTATTTCCTCAAGATTTATTTCATTTTTCCCCATTTGGTTCAAGGAACATAAAGGAATGGCTTTTTTTTGTTTTGTTTTTTATAAGGTTTGAAATGACAAAACTAAAACCAGTTTTGGTCAGAAAACAGTTGCTCCTGCCTGAGGCTTTTTAATTTGCCTAAACTTTGAAAATGACCAGCAAAAGGTTGAAAACGAAAAACAAAGCTATGGATATTTTTGATTTATGCCCAATATGGTCTGTGCTATTTTATTCCACGCCACAACACAAAAGGGACAATCACGAACTAGCTGTCTAGATTCTGCCGAGGCAGTGTGGAAGTGGGGGCAAGTTTGTGCAACAATGGAGGGACATTAGGGCAAAAAAGAGCGGGGATCCAGGTGGAAAAAGGGTCCCAGTGTTCTTGCGCACCTCGCTCTTCTAGCTGGTCCATCTTCCCAAGTCGTTTTCCATAACGGCGGTCATACAAACAAAACAAGCCGGTAAGGTACCAAACAGGAAATACGCATAGTGTAGAGCAGATGTAGATTTGACCAATCAGAGGCCTCCTCTCTGCGGCACTGTCAGGAGTCACCTACAATTTTGGAAAGGTGCAACGGAGTGTCTACGGCAAGGGTGGGGCAGACCACCTGGTTTTGAAGTATAAATCAGCTTTAAGGCTCTGCTGGGATGTTCAGGAGGTCCAGGTTCCCTAAAAGAAGAACTTCAGCTCATCTCCATTTTGGCTCTACTGTCTCTTATCTTTCTTTAAATTGTCCATAATTTCTCTATCAATCCAACAGACGGGCAGTAATTTAACAGCCTTTAAACAACACTCTGGCATTTTTTTTTTTTTTTTTTGGCAGAATGGGTAGGAACCGAGTCCTAATGGAAATAAAATCAGCACCTTTATAAAGCCCGTCAGTAGAAGAAAACATCAAGTCATTACATTGGACTTGAAAATAGGTAAATAAACCAACAACAGCAAATGACACAATAATCTCAATAGAGTGTTTTTATCTTCCTGTTAATTTTGCAGACTTTTCTCTCAACTTTCCATAATATTCTTGGATACAGCGCTCTGAAGAGCAAGCTTCTTTAGCAATCACCTTTTATATGTTCATGGTGCATTTTAACCATGTCCATAGTTGTGTAGGAAATTATATTTCGGCATTAGCGATGAGATAAAAACACTTTGCTTCTCTCTGCTTTTCTTTAAAGTTTATGCAACTCATTGGTGAATGTGAAATGGGTCAGTTGTTCTAATACTTGATGCTGTTGATTATTCTTTTCAGTTTGAGATATGTCTTGATCACAACGTGTCTGTCTGTTTGTCTGTCTATTTATCAAGCCTTTTCTATCATTCCATACTATAAAATAAGCAGAAAAAGTATGGATGATTCCTGCTGCTGTGTTATAGGTTCAATATCAGTATCGGTTAACACTCAAAGCTGCGATGGAATCAGAAATGGAAAAGGTTGTATTGGGACATCCCTAATCAGAAATCCTTTATTATTGGTGTTATGTGAGAATTATCGTCATAAGAATCAAAGTTTACATCGGCCTTGAGATCAGATATGCACATTACTTACAAACTTTAAACATAAGAACAATGCTATCAGGACAGTCCTGACTAGTAAAATTCACTTGTGTTATAATTTATTTTCACTTCCTGTTTTATTTTGTATTCATTTCCTATCTCATTTTGGGCAGCTTCAATTCCTGAGTTCCTCCCTGCAATCAGGATCTGCCACACCTTAATGTGATTCACCTGGAGTTTGTGATCCTCCTTTGTTTCTTGGCCTATTTATTTCTTAGTCATGCAGCTTCCCTTTCCCAGTTCATCTTTGTCCTTTGAATCAAGTTTTCCAGCCTTTTTTAAACTGTAAAATTAGCTTTCTAGCATTTTTTTCCCCTGCTTGTTTTTGGACCTTTCCCTGCCTCTGTTTCCGCTACTCCCGCTTACATTGGATTTTTGGCGTTCGACCCCAGTGTATTAAAAGAACCTTGACCTTTATGCCACTGTGTCAGGCCTTGCATTTGAGTCCTCTATTCCTGAGCCATATAACATATGCAAAGAATAGTAAAAAAGATTTATCTTTTTAAATTATTTTAAATATGGAATCAGAAAAGAAATATGTAGCATAAAACTATTGACACTTGAACTTGCCAATATTTCAGGATAAGATCTAAACTTCAAAATAAAAGTAGCCCTTTTTTCATTAAGCATTCAAAAATGTTACTCTAATCAAATTGGCAAAGATGTTTTTCTCCAAATTTTCCCTGTAAATAATGTTCTTTCTCTCTGCCTCTTTCTTCTCCTGCTGCGGTTTTCACTTTTAGGCTCAGATATCAAAGGAAGTTCCCTCCTGCCGTTACTGAGATCAGTCACTCCAATGAAAGCGAAACAATTTGGGTGCTGCAGCCTGGATGATGGAGGGATGTATGCTACCCTGCTGTCCCGATCTGCCTGTACACGGCCGGACGTAGAGATGAGCCGCCAGCTGAGAGACAGCCAGCACAGCTATGCAGTGTATCCTGATGTAAATCAACTTCTACTAACATCTGCTCTACAAACAGCTTAAATATTGTCTTTAACTGAAAAACTTGTACAGTCTAAAAGCTGTGCTGAGATTTATGTATTCCAGCACACTGCTGACAGATCAAATATAATAAACAAAAGATGTTTGCAACCAAAATTTCTATTTCAAATAGCAAAACGAAAAAAATAATTAATTTAGATCTGAATTATTACCGATAGAGCTTTTCAATATTGGTGCATTTAGTTCAGTTTTATATAACTGAAGTGACACTAAAGCAATAGAAACTTTATAAGACCAGTGGAAGATCTGGTGTCTTACCGTTTCTTCCGTGCTGCTTTAGTGTGTTTGCTGACAGGTGGATAGAGTTGCCTTGCCCTCCGGTTTGTGGAAACTTCAGATCTGCCAAATTCCCATCTGTGCTCATCCTGGCCACCTCCAGCTCTGCATGCAAAGAGAACAAACCCACTAAAACTTTGAGGAATCAATAAAAGCCCAAGGTTCCCTCTGAGAACTCTGAGGTCATGTCCTGTATCATTCTCTTTGTGCACCACACTGTGAAAAAAAAAAGGAATTTCGAAGGTAAACTTTAGATTCTCAAAATTCATTTTTGGTGAGCAGAAGCTAAAAATGCATTATGTATTTAGATGACCATTTCCTTTAGTGGAATTATCAAAAAAATTTCAATTCCACATAAAAACAATTTGGTTTAATGTCCCTTAGAGTTTAACCTAGTTCAGTTTTTTTTTTTTTTTTTACTATTAAGAACTCTAGCATATGAAGGTAAAGTAAAATTTCTGACCCCATTTCTTATCAAATATTTTTGAAATATTTTCAACTGGTAGGTTATCTGGGACAGATCTAACTTTTCAACATTACTCTTACATTTGCAAAATGATTGGGTATAGCCTATTACAGAAGCTAAATGTTGAACTCAATTCATTTCAAAATGGAAGGGCAGGATCATGATGTTGGATTGTTTAGCTGTTGGAGACATTTCTTTTACTTTCTTTGTATAGCTGCTATTCCTAACATGCCATCTCCAAGAACCGAGTCAAACTCATCATATTCATCGATACTAGGTTATAACACAAAGTAGAATGAATACAAAAGAAAGTAAAAGAATCTTCAAATTCCTCAATTTAATCTCTAATCCAGAGCTACCTGGTTAGAACCAGGACACAACTGAGTGTTTAGGCTAAGAAATGCTCCGAAGCACAAGACAGTGGTTTTGTGGTTGAGGTGTCAACTTACAAAGGGAAATGAATCATACTTCTAATAGAATGTCGGTACATAATTGAGCCTCAATGCTTAATTATGCTATTATAGCAGAGACAAAACCAAGGAGAGTAATAACTGTGCAGCGCATTCTTGTTTTACCAAATATTGAGGTAGAAGTTGCACAATTCTTCCCTAAAAATATGTTCAAAGAATTCACTGACAGCTCCAATTTAATCTAACATTTATAATGGGAGGTGAATGAAAACCTATTATTAGCTAATCTGTTCATATGTCTCTTGAAGAATTTCTATATGCCTCTCAGGATCGAAAACTATAAAAACAGAGGTAATCTGCAAGGTTCAAACACATCCTCAGTTGTGTCAGATACTGTATGCCACTTTCTGAGCATTGCATCTTTAAACTAACAAACTATCTAGCTTTCAACCCAGACTACAGTGGCTTTTAGCGTCTTTAGGAAAAGAGACCTGAATGCAAGTGACACAATCAATACATTAAAAGAAAAATCCCTCATATCATGGATTTCTTTTCTCATTATGAACCGAGATAATGAGAGATATAGGGAGAAGATAAAGAGCAGCTTCTTCAGCAGCTCTGCAGCTGTTGGGTCGAAAGCAACCTCCTAATTTATGGTTCAAAGATTTCCTGTGTCACACAGGAAAGGAAAATGAGCTGTTGATAGCAGCCTAGTTGAAACAAGGAGCTATTCCACAAAAGTGACTTTATTTTTATACAGTTTAATGAAGCAATAGTGTCACTTCTGCAGCGGATGGTGACCTACTGGATGGTTAAGCTTCCCTTAATGCCTCTAAATAAAGTGATAAAACCAGGGATTTAAAAAAAATAAAGAAAGAAAGAAAAATTATACAAAAAGTAATAAATTAAAATCGTTAATAAGTTTAATTTTTGGGGAAAATGTTAACAGGTCTGCAAAGACAATCCAAGGATTATGTTGCTTATTAGATTTATTCAAGGCTAGGCAGGTTTGTTTGCATAACACAAATTACTACAAAGAGAATTTAAAGTGCTTTAAAAGGATTTAAGCAATAAAATAGAAGGAGTATAAAAGCAAGTAAAGATAAAAACATGCAAAAACCAGAAAGTAAAACAGCTGGAGCATAAACTTAAACTGATCATATCTCAGTTAACTGTTTATCAGTCAAAAGCAGTATATTCCAGTATTATTAACTCTGCTGTCAATTAGGCACTATTCAAAGTTGATGGATAAGATTCCAAAAATACAGTGGGACTACTGTAATAAATAAGAATATATCAAAACAGAACTTGTCAACTAAGAATCAATAACATTCCCATCCCTGATTCATATCCAACAGCAGTTTTAATCAGAATTTGGACCATCAGAGAATCGTTAGAGTTCATTTCAGCATGATGTTTGTTTGTAATAGGCATCAAATAAACTGGATGTTGTTGGATGACTTTTTTACTTTGTTTTTGTTTGGATTCATTTGAAAAAAAAAGAATGTTTTGTGTATTTTTGGTAACAGGTTTCTTCCTGCATCTACATTACTTTATTCTTGTAAGTTCCTTGTTATGAATTCATTTTGGCCAAGAGTTAGGGACTCTGTAATTAGTGTTTTAGTTCTTAAACAACCAACTAATCAGAGTGAGGAAAAGGAGAGCCTTTACTAAAAAGTTGTTTTTGATGCCATTTAAAAAAGAAATCCAAAACGTGTTTTAGGAGCAAATTTAAAGAATAGTCCAAACCAAATTTTACTTGAGTATTAATCTTGACATTAATATGGCCTCTAATCTAATGTCATAAGGAATAATGGCTAAAATGGCTAATGAAAAACCTGGACACTTATTTGTAGAACCTCACATTGTCGTTCACTCTTTTCACAGCATAATAAACTGTTTTTGTACTCATTAAACAAAAGACAAGAAGACATGCTTCCTCTTTAGCTGAAAAGACATCAAGTGTTGCCTTTATTAGCCACCTACCAGTCCTTGACATGGTTCTGAAAAAGGTTTGAATGTCTTCCTTCTGAGCTGCCGGATGATTAATAGCCTGTCTTACATAGTCCCAAAGGAGCACAGAAAGATCAAGATTTAGGATGAGACAAGTTCTACAATTGTGTTTTTTATTTTTCAACCATTCCTTGGAAGATTTATTGTAATATCGTCGATCACTGACATGTTGCAGATGTTCCGCTGCTTTAGTCTCCATGATTTGAATGTTCCCCAGACTGTTTAAAAAGTTTTACAGTTATTCACGCTGCTTCTAAACCTTTTCAAATACATTTTTCCTTCCACTTAACTTTATATTAATAATGCAGAATTCAATATTTGTTCAGAGTAATATTTTATGTCCTTCTTTTATTGGAAATGCTGTTAATGACTTTTTGTAGGACATATCTCAAGTCAATAGACATTTGTCCATTAAAATCATATTTCCATGTAATTTTTGTGGTCTTTGTTTAACTTATAAATGTTGAAATGTCAAAAAGTCTATTTGTTAGCCACAAATCTACACCTGCTTTGATAATGAAATATTTTCAATGAAAAGTTGATTTACATACATGGGATTTTTAGCCCTTGTTGTGTTTGAAGTCAGAACGTTAACCAATTTGTCCCAATGTGGGAACAGATTTTTTTTTCTGTCAAGTTGGTAACAGATAAAACAGTAGGGCTTAGGGGTTGAGTCCCTTTTTCTAACGATCCAGTTGGCCCGGAAAGAGCAGAGATCAACCATAGTGTTATGATTCTCCCCTTGTGTACTTTTGTTTGCGTTTCTTTTTAAGTTTTCAGTTCCACATTGATTTATGCATTTTCTTTCTTCTCTATTTTTTGTTATATTTATGCAGTTTTGTCGGTACTCTCTGTTGCCCCCTTGTGTCTCTTTCCTTCCCCACAGCTCCTTTCTAGTTAGTCTTATTCACACCAACGCCATATCAGCTCATTATCCCATCCTTTATTCTGTTCCCCATATATACACCACCTCTGCAGTTCCTCATTGCGGGTTTCTTGGTGATTTGTTGCTTTGTCATTTCTTTGCTCCTCATGTGTGTGTGTGGTTTTTTTTGGACTTCTTCTGTTGACTGTTAGATTTCAATCATGTCAGCAAAAGTCTTCTCCGCCTCCTCATCTCTGCATTTGGGTCCTCTAAAAACCTCCACCAAACTGTGACACACAGTGCTACCAGCAAGATGCTCCAATATTCCTGCTGATCTGAGCATTAGGAACAAAAACAGTGTTGGAGATTTGCTCATTGTTATAGCAGCACTAAAGCTGCCTGATTAGTCTGAAGTGGTGACTCTCAACTTGAAACAAAGCCTGAACAAGAGTAAGGGAAAGAAACTTCATTAAATCCGATAACGAATTCAGTTGGTGATCTGATGTCGCTGTGACACACTGACTTTGATAAAGGTTAGAGCCAACAGAGGGCACATTTAATCCTCCCTTTGTATCTGTTTTCTTACCATGGCTTTATGTCATTTCTATTTTTAAAAACTCCTTTGTATTAGTATTCTCTTGTGCTTTTCTAAAGGCCAGAGGGTTTTTGATACATTCATATTCAACTTAGCTAAGACAATACCCCAGATAGTCAGCATTCCCTGGATTCCAAGGCTGTCTTTGGAATAGAGGAAGCATTTTTCTTCTCCCTGTCCACACTCTCTTTTTTTCCCCGCGTGGCTGTGTAAAAGCGCTTACGACAGGCTTTGGGGAATTTCTTTGATGCCATAGGAGTTGCTGGACCCGAGGGCTATACCTTTAAAGCAGGGTTTGAATAACGCACCTAATCGGGAGAAATCTTTTCATGAGATTACCGAGGAAGGAGCGAAACGATCTCCGTCTGAGACAAAGCGCTCAATAGGCATGTGCACTGGAAAATGTAAACACAAACATAGACACAAATAATAGAGTACCTTTCAAAAGCATTCAGCTCCAGAGGATGTTTTTCGATTTTCTATCACTGCTAATCATAATCTTGTTGAATTGAATTATTTAGACCAAATAAATAGGAGTGAAAGAAAAATTCAGAATAGAAAAATGAGTAAGTTTGAAGTTTTGTTTCAAAAACCTAAGGAAAATGCTATATATTTATTATTTGCAAATAGCTCAATCTAAGTCAGAATGGATTGAGTACATTCTAATAGACATATGTCAACATATATATGTTTTAAGTATTGTCAAAGATGTTTTATGGGATTCAGGTCATTACTTTGACTTGGTCTTTATATCAC